GTCTATCCCTCCCTCTCTCACCAATTCTCCCTCACTGCCTCCCACATTCACTGTCACTCTCCCTCACTGCCTCCCGCCCTCAATGCTTCTCCCTTTCACTGCCTCCCACCCTCCCTCACTGCCTGTTTCTTCACAGCATGACAAGGGAGCCATGTGTGTAATACCACCACCCAGTGGGAGAGGGAGGGGGAGAGGTAGTGGCCACCCACCCAATGGCTGATCTAGAAAGTTTCAATCTAATACAGTGGAGCCTCGATTAACGAATTTAATCTGTTCCGGCACCGAGCTCGTCATGTGAAACGCTTGTCTTTCAAAACGAATTTCACCATTTAAAATAATAGAAATAAATTTAACCCTTAACCCTTAAACTGCGCATGGCATATATATACGTCCTGAGTAACATGTCCCATGGTGCGCATGGCGTATATATACGCCATAGGGTGCCAGGCCTGATTCAAATGGCCCGCGGCTACACGGGGTTCACAGTAGCTTCCTCAGGGCTCTTGTAAACAGATGCCATTTAAAAAAAAAATCGTGGGCAATATTCTCAGGTGTGAGAGGCACAGTACTGTTGGAGCAACCAAGGCCGGCGCACGCAGCATGAGCGAACAGCATTGCTGTTCAGCTTGTGACCATAGCATCGCCGAAAAATGTCAAAATATATATATAATTGTTATTATTTAGTGATGACAATATTACAGATGACCCATGACTGTGATATAAATAACCAGGGTTGTGATAATAGCAGGATTGTTGTAATAATTAGCGCTGTGGGAGGAGTGATGCTGAGAGATGGAGGGAGACAGCATCGTTTACTGACTGTGTGGCTAGCTGTTATTGTTTGCATTCACCATACCAGGTCAGTGGTTCTCTATGGTGAACACAAATGTAGATACTTATATATAATGTGTGTATAAGTGTAATAACAGCAAAAGGATTATGCTGGGAGGAGCCATATGGGTGACGGAGGTGACGTCGTCTGCACGATTTGTCTAGCTGTTTAGAGGGTGGCCACTATGCTCTTTGGGCGCACTACAAGCTTAGGTGTACAGTTACGGTGCATACAACATGTAGATATTTATATATAATATGTGTATATAGGGTAATAACACTGCAAAAGGTATTGTTGGGGGAGAAAGTTTAGTGCGTGTGACCTTGAAAGAGTGAGGGAGCCGCCAGCCACCATCTGTGTATAGCAACGACTCTTAGTGCCTGAACTAACTATATCAGCTTAGCTGTACAGTTGTGGTGAACAAAATATATACATACTTATATATAATGTCTGTATATAGTGTAATAACACCACAAATGGTATTGTTGGGGGAGAAAGTTTAGCGCGTGTATTGAGGGAGTGGCAGCGAGTGGCTGGCTGGTGTGTGGCGGTAACTCTTCGTTGCTTTCGACTCTCAATACCAACTTAGTGGTTCGTTATGGTGACCAAAACATGCAGATACTTTTATATAACCTGTGTATAGAGTGTAATAGCAGCAAAACTATATGTTTATTGTTTTATAAACATAATAATTGAATCACTAATATGCACATCATACTTTTGAGTACAGCGATTATTCACCACTTTTATTATATAAATATATTACAATACACACTATTGAATAATATTACTGCAAAAAACTAAGAAAAAATCAATCGGAGACATTGAAACAATTAGGTAATAATATCTTTGTGGCAACTCCCACCTGTCAGTGCGGGTGACGCTGACCGGCTCTGACGACCGCTCTATCAACGCCCACTTTTTGCCAGACTTCCTCGGTCAATTGCGCCCAAAATATGTCACCTACGATTTTTTTTCCCCGTGCTCAGGGGACACAAATTAACATGTTTAGAAGACGAAAAAAAAAATTGATTTTTTTTTTTCTTGCGCACAGGGATGTAAATGTCCTCAGGACCCCTGAGCAGTGGAAGGGTTAATAAACAAAATATATAACTAAAAACATATATTATGATGTACCTGCAGAATTTAAGAAAAAACAAAAGTTCAATGTAATGAAACGCCATTTGCTGGGTGAGACCCGGAGGCTCCCCGGAGCTTACTAGCTTACTAGGCTGATATGTTAATATCAGACTTTGGCATCAGTCATGTGTATGGAGTTCTGTGGGCCTACCGGAGACCACGAATCAGAACCTGGCTCTCACAGAAAGGCATGGGGAGCATTGGCTTATACAAACCCCCGTGTGACTGGAAGCATTCTATGTTTGCCATCGACCAGGTCCGGTACCAAGAAAGGTAAGCATCCCAAAACAAACTTCTATTCTGGTGAAATTATTGTTACCAAAAGTCGAACAAGTGGATAGAACTCCTCTAAAAGAAACGAGCAAATGATCATGACGTCACATGTCACCGCATCGCTGTCTGCGCATCTCTCGCCCTCCCCGGGAGAGGGAAGGTGTAGCCCCAAACGCCTCATGCCGGCAATCCATCCATTAGTTCTGAGGCTGCTGTCAAAACCACACGAAAAAAATGCCGACCAGGGGGAGGGAGGGATGCCAGGGAGCCTTCGGTTCGCACCGAGAAAATGGCGTTTCATTACATTCAACGCTGGTTTTCTGGGGAGAGCCCCTTTGGCTTCCCGGAGCTAACTACCCAAGAGGAAAAACTTAGCCAGGGAGGTGGTCGTTGCTCACTCCACAACTCGAAGTCGAGACAATTGGCTCGACTTCGCCTGACAAGGCAACGAACAACCAGGACCCTGTTCGACCGCCAAAAACCCCTGTTCCCGAATGTCAGCCCAGGGCATGGTGCCAAAGACGGCAGCAAGAGCAGCCAACTTATTAACGTCATAAGCATGGGAACAGACCGCAGTCTGGCTAGCCTGAAGAACTCTGAGGACGATCTGAGAGACCCGCACCCGCAAACAGGGAAGAAGGGAAACCGGATCAGCCCAAAGCGCGTCCCCGGACACAGAAGCCGTGGCGCGCAATAACTGCAAAAAGCCGCAACCGGACACAAAACATGATGCACCTCCGGCCCAACCAACCAAACATCAGCAACCCTTCTTTAATATACAGACCTACTCCTCCATTTGACCTAGTTTTTTTATCACATCTATATAAATTATAATTTGGAATCCAGATTTCACTATCCATGTAATCTTTTGTATGAGTTTCCGTGAATGCCCCAAATATTGAGTTAGACTCTAATAGGAGGCCATTTATGAACTTAACTTTATTTCTTGACTTTGGCTTTAAACCTTGAATGTTTGCAAAAATGAATGACTAATACAGTTTATTAGTACTGTATATAACTGAAATATTCTTGATTTATATTATTACAAAAATGCATTACATAAAACCAGTGTTCAATGAAATGGAATGCCATTTTCTGGGTGAGCCCCAGAGGCTTCCTGGAGCTATCAGGCTAATATGTGATACATTAGACCGGGGCATTAGTCTATGGAGTTCAACCTACCAGCGATCACGAGACAGAACCTGGCCCCCTTAGATAGGTGCAAGGAGCAATGGCTCTGGAAAACCCCCCCTTGTAGTTGAGGGTTTTCCTTATCTGCCATTAACTGGGGTTAGGCACCCAGAAAAGTAGGCATAACATAAACCCCACATGGTAGGCAAATTACAACAAAAAAAAAACAAAAAAAAAACAAAAAAAAAACAAAAAAAAGAGACAGAACTCACCCCAATCCCAAGGAAACAAGCAAATGTCACTCCACTGCCGCGTCGCTCATCTGTGCAGCCCTCCCCTCCCCGGCTACCTAACACTACAGCTCAGAAACTAAGCATCAAACAATGCAAAAAAAATGCGGACCAGAGGGTGGGAGGGTTGCCAGGGAGCCTCCGGGACTTGCCCAGAAAAATGATATTTCATTACATTCAACTCTGGTCTTCTGTGAAGAGCCTCTATGGCTCTCTGGAGCTACATAACCAAAGATAAAGAAAAGAGTGACTTAGGCTACAGAGACGGAGGCTACACACTCGACGCAATGTCGAGACAACTGGCTGCCACCTGTGACCCAAAGCAACACGGGAACGCCAAGGACCAGGAATGTTAACAAAATAACAGGCGGCCAGGACCCTGTTCGACCGCCAAAATCCCCGCACCCGAATATCAGCCCAGGACATGTTGCCAAACACGGCAGCCAACGCAGCAAGCTTCCTAACGTCATGGGCACGTAGATAGACTGCAGGCTGGCTAGACTTAATAACCCTGCAGAAGACCTGGGCGACCCAAACCTTGGAACAGGGAACGAGGGAAACTGGGTCAATCTAAAGCTCATACCCAGCCACCAAAGTCGAAGCGCGCAGAAAGCGGCGAAGAGCCGCAACCGCATATGCTGCATCACTGGCGAGCTCAAATTCCTCCAAGGTTGCTTGGTTTATAGCCTCCTCTCTCAGTACAGGAACTTATCCTTGCTCTGTTGTGAAAACCTCCTGGAATCATCTTCACACACCTTGTCATTCTCTGTGTATCTATTATCCCCTTTTCTCAGTTTCATCACTTGTTCCTTCACTGGTGTTTTCCTCCAGATGTGGCTGTGGAGCAGTTTTGGTTAGATCTTGGCTTTACTTGTGATATCATTTTCATACTGTCTGCTTCTCTCCTCTGATTCAGTTTGTCTGTGTCTGTTTCCTCCTCCCTCCCTCCCTTCCCTCTCCTCTCTCTCCCAACCATTGAAGCTGTGTAATCAGTGGCAAGTGCCAAAAATGTGATCCCTTGCACACTGCTCCCTTTTGAATTCTGATGACTTCCTCTCAGCCAATGTTCATCCTATACCCCAGACCATTATCTGTCAATTTGGGTGATCTGGCATCCAATTTTGGGCAGACACCCTCACTTCTAGGAATAGATATAATTATAATAATTACATAAGCTATTATTATAACCTTCTTGTGTAAATACAGGTAATACACTAAAATTCTCAGCAAGCAATTATAAATTTACAAGTACAGTACAACCATTTATTTAAACATTGGTTTTAATTTGAATTCAACTACACCATAAGATACATAATTTGTAATAGGCATCTTACCTTATGGTCATCTAAGAGCCGTCCTTCAACTCTCAGTTCCCACGATGCAACAGAAGCCTCATCACCTTCAACTCCCTCTGCACGAGCAGGGTAAAATGTATTGGATATAAAAATACGTAATTTCTTCTTAACTTTCATGGGTCGCTTCAATGCTTCCTGTAATGCAGAGAATTTAAAGAAGTAAAATATATAACTGAAATCATAATATAAAAACTATATAGTGACACAAATATTTTCCTTTTGCTATAACATTATGAACATACTTGCTGAAAATTATATTAATTATTATCCCCACTTTTACATGCTGTATCTACTTTCATTCATTTTCCTTTCACACTTCACAAATTGTACTTTTAATACCTAATTTTCCTCTCCCTTTGACAGTTTTTAATATGTAGGCAACAGCAGCAAAATAATACACATCTAAATAAATTACTGAATATGGCATAACATACACCAACACACATACAAAATAAGGCTTCGAGCAGAAATGAAAATTCCCCTTTGGTTGCATCTTACCCTTGAAAGGCGCTAATTGTACATCGTATACGATTTTGGTCTAACAACCTGCAAGGCACACATCTCATATATACATTTTAAAGTATTGCAGAAGATTTAACCCTTAAACTGCACAACATATCAATAGCTGTGGTGAGTAATTGATGTGGAATTGCACACCACAGCTATTGATGTGGTGGAGTACCATGAAAGCTTTAAACAGTCCACGGGTTAGAGGAGGGAACCCATACGCTGCCCAAGGGCTATAGTAAACAGACACCATCTTTAAAAAACTAGTGTTGAATGTACTGAAACGCCATTTTCTGGGTGACTCGCGGAGGCTCCCAGGAGCTATCCAGGCTGATACGGATATCCCTAACTTTGGCATCAGTTAATGTGGGTGGGGTTCTAGGCCTACCGGGGACCACAGGCAGAACCTGGCCCCCCCTCAGAGAGGCACGAGGAGCAATGGCCTATAGAAATGCACATGTGATTTTGGAGCATTCCATATCTGACATTGACCGGGACAGGCACCCAAAAAGGAAAGCGCCCCAAAACAAACCCCTATTCTGGTGAAACCAACGAAAATAGCCAAACAAGTGGACAAAATTCCCCAAAATGAAAATGAGCAAATGAGCATGACGTCACACGAGCCACGCCACATGTCTGCACAGCTTCCCCCTCCCCAGGAGTAGGAAGGGGAAGCCCCAGACCCCCGCGCCGGCGCTCCACATCGCAGTTCTCAGTATGGATATCAGAATACAGTACGCGAAAAACTGCCAACTGGAGAGCGGGAGGATTGCCAGGGAGCCTCCGGGACTCACCCACAAAATGGCATTTCAGTTCATTCAATGCTGGTTTTCTGGAGGGAACTCTTACGGCTTCCTGGAGCTACTTCTCCAAAGACTAAAATAAATAAGGAGACTTACCTGGGAAGCGGTCTGTGCTCCACGCCTCAACTCGAAGTTGAGACAGGCTACAGCCGCCAACCCAAAGCGACACATGCCCGACTAGGCCCAGGAACATTTACAAGGTAGTGTGCAGCCAGGACTCTGTTCGACCGGCAAAAATCCTGTGCCCAAGTGTCACCCCAGGACATGTTCCCAAACACGGCAGTCAGAGCAGCAAACTTACAAACGTCATGGGCACGGGGATAGACCGCAGGCTGGCTAGACTTAATACCCTGCGGATGACCTGAGAGACCCGTACCCACGAACAGGGAAGAAAGCAAACCGGATAACCCCCCAAAGCGCATTCCCGGACACAAAAGCTGTGACGTGCAACTAACGGCGGGGAACCACAAGTGGACACAACACATGATGCACCCCCGGCTTGACCAACCAAGCATCAACAACCCAAGGACCCCTCCGGAAGGTAGCAGTCTTATTCTTCGCCAGAAAAGATGGAGACGGCTGCAGATAAACAAAACTACCACCACGACCAAAAGAGCAGAAAGAGCAAAAGAGCAGCTTCATGCTCTCCTCTGTGCCAGAGAAGAGCATGAAGCTCCCCGACCCAACCCCCAGAGACCAATGCCAACAGGAAAAGAGCCTTCAAAAAGCATTCCTAAACAGAAGGGACCACAACAAACCGAGGAGAAGAGAGATAGGAGAACCCTATCCAAAGACCAAGATAGCTCAAGCGGTGCATGAGCAGGCCGGAGGTGAAACAACGCACGAGACAGCTTGCAAAACGGTGCAGAAGTAACATCAATACCAAAAACAAGCTGAAGCGGCTTCGCACGACAAGAAACGACAGTATTTGGCATAAGATGACGGTCCTGGAACAACCACGAGAGAAAGGTCAACACCACCCGAACAGAAAGTGGAGTGCAACCACGAAGAGTCAAAAGGAAACGGAAGGACCGCCAGGAAACTTCATGCTGCCGCCAAGACGAAGCCCGCAGGTGGGAAACCATCAAGGAAGCCACCTGATCACCATACAAATGGTGATGAACTCGAGTCAAAAATACCAGACGCGAAGACTCGAGGAGAAGAGCGAACCAGTCTTGTAACGGAACAGGCTGATCTCCTGAAAGAGACACAGCCGTGCAAAAAAAAAAAAAAGGGCTTTGGAACATGCTCTTGCTCAACACCCACAACATGTTATGTTATCATACAGATTTGAGAACTGACATTGAAATCTTGCAACAAGAACACATACGTGATAACATCCATCTGATCACAATTATCATATCATTAATGCAAACACTCAAACGTCAAGGCTGTTGGGTACTTATCAATTGAGTGCTAAGTCATGTGGGAATAATAGGAAACGACATTGCAGACAAAGCTGCAAAACTTGCAACTAAGAGAAGAAATGTAGACATTTACATACCACAGAGTCTATCACAGATTAAGAAAGTAATTAGAAACAGAGCAATACAAAAGATGTACAGTGACCACAACACAGCAGTTGCAACATCAGGATCTGCGAGTTGGTACAAGAATTCAACCAACAATGCACTACTTAGTTTGATGAAAGGGAGCAGTAGAACAACAGAAGTACACTTACACTGCATCAGGCTTGGATACCCATGTGCATGGGAAATAGGCTTACAGGTTCCGGAAGATGAGAGGAAATGTCAGCACTATGGAGAAATGCCCGACATACCACTGGAACATTATCTAATACAGTGCACAGTTACAACCCATTAAGATTTCAACTTCGATTCAACAGAGCAGAAGTTGTTGTTAAACATATGGGACAAAATCTTACTGAAGCGACCATACAAGTCATAAATACTCATACTCCGTCCAAGTGAAACAGAAAAAAACAACACTTTGGCCCTAAGCCAAAGGCCCGCGCAGGAATATCCCCCCCCCCCCAAAAAAATAGATAGCCTGTAGCTGGGGCTGCAATATTTCATCTGTGCTGTTTATTCTCTTTAGGCAGAGGCCTAGAGAGTATGAAGGAAACTATTCAGATCTGCTGGGTGACTTGAATCAAAATTCAAATAGGTATGGAGATTTGTGGGTTTGTAGTACGCCTTCGTTTGGAGGCACCTACTCGTGTGGTCAATGAACACTGTTGCATCCAGGAAATTTATTATAAATTGTTATGCTCTAATGTAAATTTCAAGTTGTCATGGGCCATATTTGCACAGGCAAAGAAAGTGTGTAGATGTTGCTCACCAGTGGTCATCATGCCAAAAATATCGTCAATATATCTGTAATATATTAACGGTGCATCGGTCCTCTGGGATCTTGCATTTTCAAAGGTCACATGCATAAATATCTCGGCAATTATCACGCTGCTGGAAGCCCCTATGGCTGTGCCTTTTATTTGCCTGTAGGTTTGTCCTCTGAACTGTAGGATGGTGTGTCTCATCACATGGAAGATTGCTTCTTCCATCAAATCCCTCTGTGGTATCCTCCAGACGCCTGCCTCCTTTAGCTCTGTGGTTACCTTGTGTTTGTTTGCATTGAACAAATCAGCCACTATTCTGCCCGATTCCCTTGTGGTATGCTCGGGTAGAGCGATACTACATCCATCAAGAAAAGTCGAGTGCCTTCCGGCATACTACCCTCAATGTCTTGTATCTTGAGTAGGAAGTCCGTAGTATCACGTAGTCTCTCCAGTAAGAGGCATAGTAGAGGGTTCAGCAGGGCTTTACAAATCCAGTCCACCAGCCTCGTGGGTGCCTTACAGCCGGTTAAATTGGCACCATAGGTTGAACCTTACCACTGCCAATTAAATTGCCAAAAAACCAGTGTTGAATGTAATGAAACGCCATTTTCTGGGCGAGACCCGGAGGCTCCCCGGAGCTTACTAGGCTGATATGCTAATGTCAGCCTTTGGCATCAGTCTTGTGTATGGAGTTCTGTGGGCCTACTGGGGACCACGAGCCAGAACTTGACCCCCTCAGAGAGGCATGAGGAGCAATGGCCTATAGAAACCCCCAAGTGGTTGGAAGCATTCTATGTCTGCCATCGACTGGGTCGTGGTCCCATGTGGGACCATGTGTCCCATGTGGTCCCATGCGATGCCGAATGGCTAGGCCAGATGCTGCTGATGCGACAAAATGTCGCTTGGCAACACCACGCACTCCACTGACACTAGTGACAGCAAAACTCTTCTCTGATTCTAAATCACTAAAACCAGAAAATGATTCACCATCCTCAGATTCGTTGTCCAAAACATCATCTTGCAGAGTAACACATTAACTATGTGGTTGGGTGCAAAGTGGTGTTGATTGTGGGCAAGGAGGCATGGGTGACAGAGTAGGTAGGCATAACCCTTGTGGCACCTGCATGGTCACTCTCATCATCTGTCGTATCCACATCTGAGGGCTGTGTGTAGTCCTGAGCTATGTCAGTCACCAATATCAGGTTCATCACCCTCCTAGAAAAATTCCTGATGAATATCCTCCTCGGTCAAAGCTTGAGATGCATGCTGCGCTCAGCGTGGTCGGTTACCAGTACGAGATGCACTTGCCATGGTCTCTGTCAGGTAACTGAGGCCTGCAGACAATGGCAGCCTACAGTGGATTTTTTCCCCCCAAGATGGTGTGTTTACAATCGAGATTTGGTGGGCTATAGCTGCCCCTATCCCTCGCGGGGCAATTAAAATCGTGAGCTAGACCCTCAATCGTATATGTACGAAGTGCGACATTCTGTGACAGTTACTCTCATCGTATATGTATGTTTTGCATCATT